CTCTCTTGAAAGGAGATGGCTCCTATACACAGCCTTCATCTTCTTGTTCAGCTTTTGTTCCTGAGCAAGCAGTTTTGTGCATTAATTGACTTTTCATTTTAGAGAAGCATACACACACCTTATAATTTGCCATTCTTTAATCAGAATTGTACTAATTATGGCAGAATGACCAGAAATAATAAATTCAACTGAATTTCCTACTACACAGTCCCTTATTGTCCTATTAAGCAGCAGCTAAGAGCTAACAGGGAAACAACTCCAACTCAGTGGTTCACTAGAAATAAGAAAATTCTATGTAGCCTACTGAAAATCACTGTCATACTTTTAAAGTAAAAAATGTGACACTGGTTTGAAGTTGAATTCTTATCACAGTCTTGAGATTAAAACTGAAGTCTCCTGTAACCCAAAAAAACTTAAATATCTTCATGCACACATGATGTGGCTTGCTTTCCTTGCCACGGTACTCTTTTGGATTAGCACATGTGTGCACAGCCCAGCCAGATGTTCCTGTATGACTAATGAACACACTGCTTCCTGATCAGTCCAAAGGGCTGGGAGCTACCATGCCTCCCTGTCAGTAAGTTTTGGTAAAAACCAAAGCCAGACATTTGGAGGCACAAATGGTTTATAGTCTCCTGGGTGATGAATGAGCTCTAAGTGCACTCCTGTTAGTCCTGACTCTTCTCCTCACCCATCATGCCAAAGCCAGAAATAAGCCATGGCGCTGTGCAGCAGGCAGTAGGATGTATATGATATTTTCACCCTTGCAGCCCTGCATGACTAGTGGGTGACTGAATCTTTCTAAGTCTTCTGAATGAATCACCCATGACAATGCTAGCTAGCTTTTTGCTTTTACTTCTAAAACAAATGATGTAACTTGGAATCACTAAAACCAGAGATCACACAGTATGGCAAGGTTGTCTAGAAAGAACATTCCCAAACATATGGAAAAAATAAAAATATTGACAGGTAAAAATTGCTGAAGTGTAGCTATACAAAGAATTTACTAGTGCCAAAGAGAATTACATCCAGTGAAGGTGTTATGTCACTGTTATTTTATTTGTTTAATGGGGCACTCTAGCTCTGCTAAAAACCCAGTTTTGGACTACTAAGCTCAGGAGATGCAATGATCCTTCTCAGTACTGCAGCTTCCAAGTCGAACCTGCCATAAGCTCAGAGAGGTCTCCTGATGCTGCTAGGTAAAACTCAGCCATTCACACAGCTCCTGTCAAATATGGTGTCAGAGGCCCTCTTTCCATCTTTCCATTACTCCAAATCAGACACAATTCCATCAGGTTCCCTATGCCTATGCTGTATTTAGACAACTTTAGGAACAATTCAGTCCTAAAGTCCTGTCTAGCCTAGCTGTCATCCTTAATGGAAGATGCAACTCAACATCATGGACAGTTTTCCCTTTAGACTGGAGACAGATTCATCCTATCATAGAGGATGGATCATACAGGATAAAGCCCCTGTGAAACCACAGGAGAGACCCACATGGCTGGAAACAGCTCTTGCCCATGAAAACAACTCCAGAGTTGAAAAGGCAATATCATATCCCAGAAAACTGTTTCCTGAATGTGTTTGGCACTGAATCATTTTGAGTTCCTTTTGTTTAGAAGACCACCACTGTGATGCTTAGTTTCTCTAACAATCACACTCTTCCTCCTTGGTCTACAATCAACCAAGGGAGTCTTGGTTGTAAAACCAACTTCTTTACTTTAAAAGCATGACAGTGATTTTCAGTAGGCAATATAGAATTTTCTTATTTCTATATACAATTTGGCAGGAGTAAAATTTCACTGACTCTTTTAGATTGTGGAATCTCCCTCTCTGGAAATACTCAAAACTCGCTTGGATGCAACCTGCTGTAACCTACTCTGGGTGTATCTGGCCTCCAGAGGACCCTTCCAAACCCAACCACTCTGTGATTCTGAAAGTATTTATATCCCAGCACCTGAGTCAGAGGACCAAGAATTCCTACAAAGCAACTGGAGCAACCACCCACTGCAGCTCTAATGTTTGTAACTAGGTAGGTGGGCAATTATGCTGACACTGAAACATGTGACCCCACAGGGCAGATTTTCCTACTAAAAAACCCTTCTTATGCTACAGACAGTACAGGATGAAACAACACAAAATCCCAAAATTCATTAGCTTATCAAGTAACTTCTTTTATAATCAATGTTCCAGACATTTTAAAATATCAAGTCAAACAGCTTTAGAAAAGGTATTGCTATGATTACTATGCTACTTCAAGTCTGTAGGCTACTTAATAGCCTTTTTTTTTTAATGACAAAGCACCTTTTTAAAGAGGAGAGTCTTTGCTTGAAAAGGTATAACCATAAAGGCATTAAAGTAAGTATCAGACTTTTTGATGGGCTTAGGTTGAAAACACAAGCTCAAGAGCTGCAGAAAACTTCTTTTAAGGTCTCTGTTGTTTGGAAACATCCTGCTGTCAAAGCTGTGTAGTGCAAATTGCATATGTGGCTTTGTGGGCAGATCTCAGCTGTTTATTTTTACACACTGCTAAATATGAACGCTCACACATTAGTAAATCTACTTGCAAATGCATTTTGGAAACACTTGAAATTTGTTTTCCTGCTCTGTATCTCCATGTTGAAAGAATTTCCAGACATAAATACCCATCAGTGAAAAGTGACTGTGATTGTTTGAATTTGAAATTAGTAAGTGCTTAAATAATTCACATTTCGTAGAAAGTGACAGCAAACAAATTGCACTACCCACAGCCTTAGGAATAGATGTGGTTTATTTCACATACAGCCACTCACTTACAGGAGATCATTTACACACCTCGGGAACTGCTTTGGCATTTGATGTAGACTTTACTTCAGATAAAGACACAAATCATACTGCCTCAAGAATTTACACTTCACTCTCCTCTTGGCTTCAGTGACAGTGTCATGTACAGAACAATATCAGACCAGACGTGTCCATTCATTTTCCATTTATGAGTAACCAGAATGAAGTTTCTGAAGCCAGTAGAAAATAACCCCTCCAGAGGTTCACCCAGTGACTCCTCAGAGTCCTTTGTTTGTAGGTCAGTGATACTAGCCAAATTGTATGATTAAAACCCACCTGGTTACCTGAAACAGCAGTTCATGAGAATGATGATGATTGTCAGGTGGGGTACCATGGGATAGCTCTAGGACCATAAGCAAGTATATGCACCAAAGCATTAGAGAAAAACCAGATTGTTCCCTTAATGACCAGACAAGTCTCAGCTGAGGTATGAGAAAGGAAGTCCAAGCCACAAAAATTCATTCTCCTCACTCAAAAGAAGCAATTAAAATAAAAAGCCCTGCTTCTGTCGTAGCTCAGTTCCAGCACAGAGTCAGCCGGCCACAAAAGCACTGCAACAGCCCATGTAATTAATACCTCAGCCAGCCAGCCAGCACACTGCACTGTGGTGAGAGTAAGCAGCGGAGTAACCTCACCTGTCCCACAGCAGGCATTGCCAGTAAGAGGCAGTTGTGAAAACCAGTGACTGCATGGATTCTGCCCAGCAATTTATATAATGAGCAGATGAAATTATTCTGCTTGGCTTCTCTGAGTCATGATGCCAATCCCTACCATCTTCTGGAGCTCACTTGGCTAGATTAATATATACAGATCCTATAATCAAACCTATGAGGGGAAGAAGGGCCTGTCCTCAGGATCAAGGAAGATCAAGGCTGTCATATAAGGGTGGGGCAACCCTGAGACTGCTTATTATAGGAAGTGCTGGCAATGATGCCTCAATATTAAGGTCATCTTACATTTTGTCTTACACAGCTAACATGGAAATGATCTCTTACACCTTTCCTTTGTGAGCTCTCAGAGTAAGAAAAAATAAGACTCTTCTAAGATGATAAATATCAAACTTGAAACAGTCACATTTTTATTCATGCCTCACACCTGGGTTAGGTGCTCAGAGATTGAGAGGCTCTATTTGGCCAGCTCTTAAACATGTATAACCTCTCTCCAACAGAAATATACACAAATGGCAAGGAAATAAGGTCTTCAAAAGCTGGGTGCAGACCAACAAGGTTTCCTGGAAGCTTAAAGAAAAAATAATTTCTTGTTAATTAACTAATCTTCTTGCTCTGTATCTTCTGTGGCCACAACATATCTAGCTATACATTTAATATTTTCCCTTTGAAGAAAGGGCATGATCCAAATTAAACTGTTTTTTCCCCTCATGACTCTTAAGACACACTGCAGCCCCTTAAAACATGGCATTGCATATGAGGAGTAAGAACCCTTACAGGGTTAACACCCTGTATAACTCCGACCTAGCTACAGCCGCTTAAAGAACTGGCTTCCACAGGCCGAAGGGTAGAACCTGCAAAGGAAGGCTCAGCAACCAGCACATGTGGGTGCAAGGCTAAGTTTCTGGAAATAAAGTTCTGGAGCATAGCTCTGACACACTCCAAGAAAGGTGCTAGAGAAGCACTGCCAGTAACAGCAAAAGGCATACTGTGGCGCTACTGATGGCTGGCAGGAAAAGTTTTGTTGAGGTGACAGCTTTAGCAAGGCCCAGTGCCTGTAGAGGCCCCGAAAAGGTGACTTCGGTTACACGATGGATTGTGCTGCTGGTGGCCCCACGCTGGAAGCAAGGCGGTGATCGGCCCCAGGCGATGGGAGCGGGGCTGTCTGGACCCGAGGCAGCAGCCGTGCTCGCCGTGCCACCGCCTGCACACCGCCTGCACAGAGGGCTCGGGAGAGCGGCCGGAGGGAGCAGTGACCCCAAGGCCAGGCCAGGGCAGGGCAGGGCCGGGAGCGGCGCTCCCGAGGCCGCGGCGCTCCCGGCCCCTCACACCGCCCCCGGCCGCCGCCGCGCACGCGCGCAGCGGGGCAGGGGGAGCGCGCGCGACATCCGGGCACCCCGCCCCCTCCGCCGGGGGAACGGGGCCGCGCCTGCGCGCGCGCTCCCGGGCCCCGCCCCGCCCCGCGCGCTCGCTGTCCCTGCCCTGGCGCGCGGCCGGCGGGGGCGCGGCCGGAGCGGGGACGCGCCGGGAGCTCCGCGGGCGGCGCGGCCGGGCCGGGAGAGGCGGAGCGAAGAGAAGCGAAGAGAAGCGGACCGAGTGCGGCGGCGGCCGGAGCCCGGCGGGGGGAAAGTGCGAGGAGCAGCGCAGGCTGTCGTGCCTGCTCGCCTGCCTGCGGAGCAACGGGGACGGGTGAGCCGCCGCTGCTGGCCGCGAGTGGCAGGGAGAGCCGGGCCCTGCGTCCCGCTGGGGCCGCGCCCGCTGCCCGGCAGCCGGGCGGTAAACAAATGGCGGCCCGGCGGGGGCCCGAGCGCCCGGCGCCGCCGCCCCGCCGCGCCCCTGACAGGTCGCGGTTGGAAGAGGCCGCGGGGGTCGATGCGCGGCTCGGCCGCGCCGCCTCCTCCTCGCCCGCCCCCCGTGCCCCGCGGGGCCCGGAGCGCCGGGTGCGTGCCGGGCCCACGGGCGGCGCGGACCGAGCTGTGCCTCGGCCGCTTCCTCTGACCCCGCCGCGCTGCCAGCGCTGTCGGGTGTCGCGATTGCACGTGGGAAGGGCGTAGGGCCGGGGTCTGCCTGGGGCTGTGGAGACCGCAGTCGGAGAGTCGCCTTTCTGCCTGAAAGGAGGGGGAAGAGAGCAAATAATCCAGAGGTATTGCTGAAATCCTTCTCTAATCCCCCGTGTTTGTGTTAATTCGAGTGGATGTGCTCAGACCATGCAAGAGGTGATGTTTTCTCTCTCAGTCCCTTTTTTTAATGGCAGTTTTTTGACGGGCGGTGGAGCCTTTGTTTCCCTCCTTCACGCAGGTAACGAGGGTTGCGTGGTTGTACTCCTGTAACCCCCGGCAATCAGAAGCTTACAGGGAGATGACAGCAGCTTGTTGAACGGCTCGCGTCTTGGAACAGTTGTGTGGCCTCACTTCCAAAAGTTCTAGCGTCGCTGTTGTTCGCAGCAGGTCTTCCAAATTCTTGAGGGAAATAACCCGTGGGCTGGAGAGGTGGCTTTCTTTTGTTCTGCAAAGCTCTACTCGGATTTGGCTGAGGAGCTTTTTGTAATCCTTGTTTCCCTTTTGGTGATTGTGTTGTTAATAATGCCAGAGAAGTTTTAGCATACTAGTCCAAACCCAGTGCCCCTAAACTAACAGCCTCACCTTGCTTGTGCTAGCACTTAAGGCAAGATATCTCCTCTACTTTATCTAGAATTGGTGTGGAGTACTTGATGGTTAAGTCCTTTACTTGGAAACCTGCTGTCTTCTGCTTCACGTTGATGTGATACACCTTGTGCTGTGACTTGGGGGGGTTAAGGTGCATGCATCTGGTTTGAGGAGGATGTCAGTTATTTATGACCTTCTCCTCTGCACCCCTCTCCCAGAAGTACAAAAAATATTAGAAGAACTTTGTTGTTAAGCAAGTCAGGTAACTGGAATACTGAAAAATGCACTGGCAGCTTTACTCTGTCTTCCACTCTATATGTGTGTAAACATCTATGTGGAATTTCTCCATAATAGTCAAGTTTAATCGAGAGAAGAAATAGATTAGCGAGAGTGAATTGGGATTGTATTGCAAGCTGAGACTTTTTGTGGGGTTTATTCTCTCATTTGCATCCAAAGTTAGAAGGTGTTAGGGAGCAGGAGAATCCCATCAGAATGGGCAAAAACTATGCAAAAGCAGTGTTTTTATTCTGGTGCCTGAATATTCTTTCTTTTGCACCAAATTCTGCATTTATGCAATTAACTTCTTAAATTCAGGTTATATTTCCCTTACTTCCTACTTCAAAGTTAAAGGTCTAATGGGCAAAATAAGTGCTGCATTAAACAAGTAAAATCTGTTTGGAAAGCTTCTGGACAAGATTTCTGCTTGGTTTTGTACAGCCAGGTTTTTAGGTTGTAAAGAGTGTCTACAACAGAGGGTGTAGTCTACCACTTTGTGAAGAAGAAAGCATATGGTTATTAGTCTTTAAATGAGTTCTTGTGGCTGCTGCAGATTTCAGCTGTGTAAGAAATCCCTGTTTTGCCTTCAGTCCAATTGAACTAAAAGGAGCAAAATTTCTATCATATTGATAGACCTATTTCTTTGGTGGGCTCTAGCTAAATGGAGGCAAATGAGATCCAGTGGAATAAAGATGGGAGCAGGGAATCATGTATAGTCATCATTGTTCTGGTGACAATTTCCCTTCAGTTTCCTTATCTGCATAATGAGAATAAAGATAATGTATCTATTAGTGAGATGGTTAGCTTGTATAAGGGGTGATTAGTATTCCTGAACTGGCCACAAAGAAATGAATATTTACATTATTGATGGTTACAGAGAAATCTGTGTAAGCTGTCCTAAATGTCAGGACACTGTCTAGTCTCAATATTGAATGAAGGAAAAAGACTGAAAAGCCTTGTAATATAAACTAGTCTGAAACAGGCCAAGAGTGTTAAAATGGCAGGGGAGCTCTAGATTATAACTTACTTTGCAAGCTACTGTTTTTAATAATTTTTGATGTGACACTTGGTGTCTTATTATAATCTTTTAGTGATTTTTTTAAAGCTGTTTGACGCTTCAGGACCCTGCAAACCCCTACAGTCAGTACAACATCCAGTTGAGTAGATCGTGTTGTTTCTTACCAAATGTCCAACATTGATCCGAGTTCTTAATATGAGATCACGATGAAAAAATGATAGGTCTAAACTTAAGGCTTGAGAATGAGAGGCGTGGTGAGGTAAGTTTCTGAGTGATGTAGTTACAGCTGTTCATGTAAAACTTTACTTAGTGGTTCAGGCCGAGTGTGATACCTGGTTCAGACTTTGCTGCAGAGGTGCTGGAAGGTAGGTGTTGTTTTGTTGAAGTTCAGGCTTTTATTTGTCTATTTAGAAACATCTCTAGTTCAAACTGTAGTTTTCCAAAAGTATGCTAGACAGAGAAATTTGTTGGTGTGATAGATTCATTGCAAATAGGATCGTTATAGGAGTGTGCTTTATTGGCAAAGCTTTAATGCTCTTACAAAACCTTGTTTTGTCTGAGTCACTGTTGTCACCAGATAAGGAATGAGTTTGGATAGGATCCTTCAGCTGGAGTCCTTGGGCAAAAAGAAATAACATCAAGCCTGTTGACATTTGGAAAAGGTGGTCTAAATGATTAAATTAGCGATAACAAATTGATTAATAATTGTACGTCCTAAAACCCTGTGCAGACTTGTAGTGAAGATGTTCGTGTTTTCCAGTTTTTTATTCATGTCAGAAACATGCTGAAAGAGCTGGTATGACATGCTCACTATGAGATATATTCCTAGCTTTCTGTTGTCAACTGTTTGCGATAGGTGAGGTTTTGTTTAGACAGTCATTTTATTTAAAACTATTTTTTTTTTTTACTGTTTTGTTGGTTTTAAAACCAAGCATCTTGGAAGGGGGGAAAGCCTGACAGTTGCTGCAAAAAGTGTCTTTAATTTGATAAGAAAGGAAAATACCTGAAAATAGAATAAAGTTGTTAAAACTGTCTTATCAAATATTTTTGTTTTACTTCAAAATTTTCAAAATATTTTGAGACAAACTCCCATCATTTCTACCTCAGTGTAATCTGATAAGGTATCCTTGTGGGTATGTCTGTTAAATTCCTTTCTGTACTGTCTATTTTGCTATATATTAGTCAGGCCATTGTCTACTACCAAGGGTGTATTTTTAACAGAAAAAATAATATGGACATAATTAATGACATTGGACTTCAGTGTAGGATGTTGGAGAGAAATTGCTTTCATAGTCTATTTACTTTAAAGTTGTTCTCACATTTTGCTATGGGACCTGGTTAAATTTGTCCCATAGTAAGATGTGAAACAGTATATTAATGAGATGTTTGGCCTGATTCTGTAAGTATGCAGAGGTCAGGCATTCTTCGGCAGCAGCATGTATGAATTAAAATAATACGTAAGAAGGATTTATTTTTTGTTTCATTTTGGTGGTTAAAACTATCTACTGTAATACAGAATGCATTATTTTTTCCAGTAGTTCTGTTTCTGGTTACTGAGAAACAACTTATTTTCTTTCCTGCTTTTCTGGAGGATTTCTGAGTTGGTACTAGGATAAGAATACCATTGTTCCTTGGGGCATATCACCTCGGTTTCACCTCTCTCAAGTTTTAGTGGTAATCCTTGGGAATGAAAGAATGGAAGAAGCATCTTGATACAGTAAAAAGCTTTTTAATAGTAAGCAACTGCTTAATAAGTTTCCATGTATGAAGATTGAAGATGTACAAATTTTAACTAGACTAAAATGCAGTTTGTAAAATAATCACTTTATTTATTTTAGTTCTCCAGCTGTTGCAATCTTTCATACAATTTATTTTTTTTCCCTGAAGTGGTCAGAGCAGTGAATTAAGTGCAGTAGCTCAGAATAATAACTTTTAATAATCTCTTGCAGCCTTAAATATAATTAGGTTACCGTCCAGTGTGACTAACAGCTAGCAGGAAGCTAAAGTGGCAGAACTTAGGTTATACTTGTGAAGTCTGTTAAAACCTTGTTTATATTCCCATAAAATCTACAGAAAATTTCAGTGTTTGTAGCCCAAGACTGTGTAAGCACATGACCTCTTCAGGGGATTGTACATACAGAAAGTAATGTCTACACCTGAAATGAAACCTTACTTCTGATCTCATTTCTTGCAGAATCCGCAGCAATCAAGGAGTCACACTGTGTTCAAGTTCAGAAGTGTTTTACACATGAACTCTACTGGCTCTCTAGCTGATTCTGCCCTGTCACCATCTCAACAGGTAGAGTGCTTTTGTGCCTGAGCCATGCAGTAAGTGTAGCTGTTCCTTGTGTGATTGTCCTGTGTCCGTGTGTGGCCAAAGGCACATTGAGGTCTTTGGGCTTCTTCTCTGGGAAATCTGTCAAGAAAGCAAGAATGCATGGCAGATCTGTCACAAAAGTACTCTAAAGAAAAGCCTGGTAGTTTTGCTTTTGATTTTTAGCACTCTTTTAACTGAGTTTAACAGGGATAGAAGAAAGTGTTCTGTCATTTCATCAGAGCTTCTGTTCTAAAATGTAACAAAGCCAGACAGGTAAGGCATCGGTGGAGGGTCCACTTCAATCAAAGCAGTATTTTGTTTGGCTCTTTTCCCCTTGAATTTTTTTTTTTTTTTTTTTAGCTGCAGTGATTTGGGAGGAAATAATTTCACTGTGTTTTCTGAATGGTAGGAAGATGGTTTGCACTAGGAAGAAAGGATATTTGGGACAGGGGCAGACAGGCAAAATCTTCTTTATAAGGTTGGCATAAAAAAGATTGCAATTCGCTGTAATTCTAGAGTTCATGATTTCTGCTGTAGTTAGAGGTTTCTCTTTTTTGGTCTGGTTTGTTTGTAAGGTGGATAGGTAACCTTTATTTATGCTTAAAAAGCAGCTAGTATATATTCCTTCGATGTTAGACCACTGATAAAACTAGAATCTTTCCAGAAGTATGTGTCCCCAAGAGGGGTTTTTCTTGCAGTAAAAAGCCATGCTTTAGTGTAACCTTTTTCTGTCTCTTTTGTATTAATACATAATAATAGCTGTAGTCTATGATGGTAATGGTTGAAGTAGCGTCCTGCTTACATAGTAGTTTGGGCTCCTAGTCATAGGAGCTCTTTTCATGTTTTCAGTGATTAACAATAAATTTATGTAAACTCATTCTAGTATGTTCAGTATGTGCAGTCACTACCAGCCAGGGAAGATGCTCTCGTCTTTGTTGTGGATGAATTTATGTTTGAGAATGCAGTGAACACTCATCCATCCAACTATTTTGAATATAGTTTTAGCTTCCCTGGTCTATTTTGTTTTAACAGAAATTAAAGTTGTCCTGATGAACTTAGGGGTAGGGGGTGGTAATTAGTATTGTGTAAGGTTGAGAAATAATTTTTGGCATCTGAAAGAAGAGCTCCTGAGAGAAACCTGGGAAAATGATGGAAGATTGTCTAGCTTCTGTTTGAGGTAGCATCAGAAGAGACAGCAGACTGAGTTAGAGAATAAAATGACAATTTATTAAAGGCTTTTAACAGATACACCTTGGGCAATGCAGGAGCCTCACAGAGTCTATACCCATGGATGATAGTCACGAGTTTTTTGGGCACATACAAATTCAGTCAATTTGCATATCAGGGGTTAGTTGTCCAATTACAGCTTCAGGTAATGAAGTCACACTCCCCTAGTTTGCTCTCCCCCCAATTCTCAGGCCTGTAAGGATTGTTTTGTCAGGCCAAGCTGTGATGAAAGCTTACTAATACTCTATATGAAGTTCAGAGTTATACACTAATGCTGTGCAGCATCTGAAAAATATAAGAGCTAAAACTTCACTTCTGCAGTGCCCAAAACAAAAGGGAATTTTTTGGTATGGTTTACGTGTATTTGCTTGTGGGTGAATTTGGATGCTCCTGGGAGTTTAAACCTGTAGTACAGCTTGTGTGTCTCTAGTCTTCTACTTCCTTGAAGCAGTAGTTCAAGAACCTGTTGGTCTAATCAGTTGAATTTGATAGAAGAGTCTTAAAGGTAGTTGAGCTTCATAGGTTGGATGAATAATAAGGGGCTATGTAATGGAGGGCTCCAATAGCAGTAATGGTTGCTGTGATTTCCTGTCTTATTGGTCCCAAAGTATTAATATAGAAGAGAGTGAGCAAGCAGGCTTTGGGTTTGATAATACTAAGTACAGTTTTTGTGGTATAGAAGAAAGTGAGAACTTGCACTTGCAGCTGAAGCATTGTGTGTGTCTGAAACCCTTATTATGCTATTTTAATGTTTGTGTTACAACAGCAACTGGAAATCACGTGGCTGTAGCAGCTGGAATTTTAATCCTTTTAATTATGACAGATTTTCAAAGCATGTTCTGGCTGATTTAGTCAGCTGACTGTATAGTATGTACAATAACATCAAGTGATGGCACAAATTCTGAGAGCAGTGGTCACCTCACTGGAACGGGATGTATTTTTAGGTTTCTCTGCTAGTAACAGTCAAGTGTATGTACTTCAGCACCCTGAACTGAAGGAACTGAAGCTGGTTGCTGACACTACATTATCAGAAAAGGACAGCTGTTCGTTCTTGCTGTAGTCATTGATCTGACACTATCTTCTGACCATATTGTGACAAGGAGCACAGTGGGATATAATTCTGTAAATATTGGTGTTTTAACAACAGGTATTTTTCTTTATGTCAGCAATGACCTTCTTTGTTAGCCCTTTCAGTTTGCTGTATTAGAGGAAATAAAAGGACTTGTTACCTCCAGGGAGAATTTTCTCTATCTCCCCTTTACCCAGCAGGTTTTTAATTTACAAAGCAGTATTTGGGAAGGGGGTGGTTCTTGTTCTCAGTATAGTACTAATGATATATTGGTTGAGGTTCTGTAATGGGAAATTATTCATATGTGAATGCTCTTAATCTATGAATAAAAGAGGTGCTAAGTTCTGTGCTTTACAAAGTTAGCTTACAAAATAGAGTGAGTCATGGTCTTTTGCTGATTAATCAGTGTGATAATTCTTGAGGTGTTATCTATTTATTTTACCAGTTTGATAGGGTCATTTGGGTTTTTTTTTTCCTTTGGACTTAATTTGCAATTCAAGAATTGAATTATATCAGAAGCCTAAAGTAGTTCAAGCAGTCCAGGAACTCATGACTACTCAAAACAGCTGTTGAATTTGAAGCTCAAGTATTAAAATTTAAAATGCATAAAAGGACATTTAATATATTTAAAGAGACTTTGTAGTAATTGCTAAATAAAATGCAACATTCTGACTAAATTGAAATTTTGCAGGAGGTGCTGAGGAGTTAAGGTTTGTAAGCAGAACGCAGAATTTTAGTGAATGTTCTGCTGATGGTCTACTGATGTCTGAAGATATTTTAAATTATATGTTTAGAAAATGAGCCAAAGGATTTGAATTTTAAGATAAATGGCAACTAATATCAAGCTTCTTGGTAACCAGTAAAATTCTTATTTATAGTAACTGAGAGAATAAGTTGCTTTAGCTGTGTGATTTTGTGCATAACTGTTTCTTGATAAAACCAGCCTGAAGCATCTGTAATAGAGTAAATTTGCATCTAGCTATTGGTAAGACTTGGTCTTTTAGTGTCAGCTTTGGCTTTGTCTGTTAGTGATATTTGATGTTTTCACCAGATTTTGTTTCCTTCTTACTTTGAAAGATCATTTGCTTATATGAAATAAAAGTTTTGATGAATATTAGCCTATGAGTGAAAGGAGTTCAGGAGCCTGAGAAAAGCCAGTATCATTGTGCAACTCAGGTTTCACAATCTGACTTGTATAGACCAAGATAGTGTGCTGGGGAGGAGGATGTTTTACTGTCTTAATAGAATGTTCTGTGTAAGCTCAGGCTATTTAAAGATGAGTTTAATTTGGTCAACCATTTAATGATGGTTGACTAATTTAGGGTATGTCTCTAGAAACGGTACAGGCAAACACGAGCTCAGTTTGACTGTGTTCTGAGCTGCTGCATGTGGGCCAGCTTTGGCCTAGAAGCAGTAGAATAGTGCTGGCTTAGCAGTGTGTGCTATTTTCCCAGCATAATTGACATGTGTCCCCTTTCTGGGTTAAGTGAAGGTGGCTTATCCGCCTTGCCCAAAATCAGTAAAATTTTGGCCCAGATTGCTGTCATGCAACACATCTTGACATGATCTGATGGTGTTGATGTGAAATTTCCCACTGAAGTCCAGGTGTCACAGTCAGTATGGAATGGGCTACGGGCAATCATGAGGGTCTGGAAAGGACGTGTGTCTGCACCCGCTCCACGCGCCGGGGTGTGCCCAGTGCGGAGCCATGCGGTGGCAGCTCGCAGGGCAGCCCAGGCCTGCCCCTCACTGCTGTGGAACACGCCCGCTCCTGTGGGTGTCCTGTGGGTCTTGACAGCACTGCCCTAGGGCTGCTGTCAGTCTGTGCCCAGCTTTTCCATCCTGTGGGAAAGGGCATCGGCAGCTCATGACATGAGGGCCCTCTTTTCACCTGGGGTACTGTCAAGTGGATGGTGAAGCCGCTCAATAGGGTGAGAACGTCCATAACACTCATAGTGAAGCAGAGATCATCTTGGGCACCCTCGTGGGCAGATGAGACCTGTGCAGCTGAGCCCAGTCAGCAACACACTGTCCCATCCTAAGAGAGTCATAGGTAGTCGTGCCCTGAACACACCCACATGCTGCTCTCCCAGTGGCTCACTTCTGGCCAGCTTGAAGTGAGCAGATTGTTGCTTTATGGTAGCAGGACTTGGTTTAGATAGATGAAACAGGGGCTGGGCTCTCTAAAGGCACTGTCATTATAAACTAACAATTGTCTTTTTCAGTGCTATTTCCATTTTGTCTTATGCACTTTAAAAGACACACAAAACCTGAGAGCTTCCTTTTGATCTCTGTTCACCTGTTAACTTGAGGAGAAGTAGTTTGGTTTCAGTATTGATGGAGATTTCTGAGATTTTCTAGCAACAGGCCACATTATTTGGCAAGAATTACTGAGGAGAGGGCTTTGCTGGAAGAACTAAAATTCTCTTCAGAGAAGTCAAATATTTAATTTTTCCATTATTTACGGAACATGTTTAATCTCTTTGTAGTAGATGCTATCTGACTTAATTTGCAAGTCAAAAGCAGGTTGTGTGCCCGAGCTGTTTGCAAAAATGTGGAACAAGTCAGTCACTGAGTCCTATGACTGATACGCTTGACAATTTATTTGAAACTTACTGTTACTCAGTATATGAGGTAAGGTGGTGGGGAAATTCAGCTGTGTTTTGCCTGCTAAGTGTAGCACATACGCCTTTTTGTTAAAAGTGTTCAGGAGAGTGGGTGGCTAAAATATTTAAGTTATCCAAATTACGACGCATGGGGGGATGAGGACTGATTGCTACTTAAAGTTGGCATGAATTTCAAAGCATTATAAAAGAATACAAGTGAGGGAAGTGTTGCATATATTTCTATTTGAATGCTTTAAGTTATTTAAGGTGGAGTGTCTAAAATGCACTTTTGTTTCCTTTTGCCTTCAGTTTCAAGAGAAATAGTTTGCTTTTTATAGTTTAGAGTAATTTTAATTTAAGAAGGTTTAATGCATTAAACCTGAAGTGCTTAGTTTAAAGACAATGCGTGAGAGCACTTGTTAGCAGAATAAGGAACCATTTTTATTAATCTTAAATTATTTGAGCATTTTATTTCTCAAGAAAATTGCTGGGGGGAGTAAGGAAAAGACGGACTGAGCAATGTATCTTTGAAACAATATTTTTTGAGGTTTGGCTTTGTGCAAGTCATTCACTGATACCTCTGAACTTTAATCTGTACTGATATCACTTCTGAGAGGGAGTTTGTAAGAGTGTAGGGGAGAGCTTGGTAACATGTGTGGGCCTGCACTCCAGCTGGACAGCAGTTCCAGACTTTCTCAAAGTATGATACAAAGACACAAAGTTTACTCTTCTTTTTTTTTCTTTTTTCTTGATTTTTAATTTATTTTTCTTCAACAATTGAGTTTTTTGTTGGTGTCAATGTATTGTTTTAGATTGCACCATGGATGTATATGTGTTTTGATTTTTACTGCTGTTTGGCCTTGTTATTCAGAATTGTTGATATCCTTACACTTTGAATTCCTGGTATTGTGATCAGAGCGGCAATGGGATACATTAAAAAATTACCTTTTGTGGGTTGAAGTGGACATAGGCAACTCAAGTTTTATGTAAATGTTTTCAGTGAAATAAAAGGACTTATTTAATATGTAGTGTAATTATGCAGTATTATTTGCTACCATTGTACAACAACTACTGTAGAAAATAAAGGGAAGGGCTGTAGGCTTTAGATAAAGAAAAAGTGAAGAGCTGTTGTAAAGGACTGCAGTCTGTCAGAAGCAGGGAGTGGGGAGAGAATGTGACATGGCATGGAATCGAGATGCTCACTTGAAGGCTGCAGATTGCCTTAAGCAGGATGCAAGAAGAGGGTGCCAGCAGCTTAGGTGGGAGCAGGCGGCCTCTGTTTAATTTAGAGAATTGGACATGAGGATGAATCTGGTTTCCTTTATTTTGTCTCTGTGCAATTATATAATTTATAATTGTTGTTGGCTACAAGTAGTTGGTTATATAGTTAGTCAAAGGTCATGCTTTGTTTTTCATGGAATGATCTTTTTGCAATGAGCAGGGAAAAGGGGCTAATCCACAGTGAAGGATTATACAACATTTTTATTTAAGTTGCATATATTAGACCTGGTAAATAAATGCATAGACTATGTTCTGGGCTCTGATACAAATATGTATTTTTAATTTTCAGCTTAACTTTTAAGCACCATTTCTTTGAAATAAGATGTTACTTGTTTTCATAAAATGTCTACTGATCAACAGTAGCTAGTAAATATTAACAATATTGAGTCAATATTCTATTCTGTTGTCTCCTTTCTCTTTACTCAGAGTTGGATTTACAGTCATGGAGGAACATCAGCAACACTTACACTGTGTGAACTGTGTCAGCCGTCGTTGTATGACCAGACCAGAGCCGGGCATTTCCTGTGATTTGATTGGCTGCCCCTTGGTTTGTGGAGCAGTTTTTCACTCATGTAAAGCTGAGGAACATCGCATGTTATGTCCACTTGAAAGAGTGCCTTGTTTGAATAGTGGCTTTGGATGTCCCTTCATAGTAGCCCGAAATAAAATTGCTGATCATCTAGAAGTTTGTCCTGCAAGTGTGGTATGTTGTACCATGGAGTGGAATAGATGGCCAGTCAGTTATGCTGACCGAAAATCTTATGAAAACCTGAGTAAAGATGTTGATGAAGTGGAGCAGCTAGATATGGCTTTAGCTCTTCAAGACCAGCGCATGTTATTAGAATCACTTAAAGTAGCAACTATGATGTCAAAAGCAGGTGATCAAATACCAGAATCCAGAGAGCAAACCTCTGTCAAATCAAGTGCCCCCGATACAGTGCATACCAATGGTTTGATGCCTGTAGATGAAGAGTCCTATGGTGCACTTTATCAAGCTACTGTAGAAACAACGAGGAGTTTAGCTGCTGCTCTGGATATCCTGAACACTGCTACAAGGGACATTGGTATGTTAAGTTCAAACCACTGCATTTCACCACATGAAATGAAAGAAGATCCCAAGATTAAAGAACAAGCTTCTAGTGGCGTTATTCAGGATAAAAAGTCTGACTCTGAAAATCCAGATGAAGATGTAGGAGCGGTTGGGGGAATTAACTTTGATAGCGTGAGTCAAAATTCACAAACAGAGCAAAATGGTTCTTGTGATATTTGTTATGATGTAGTGCAAAACCATGACTTAAATCTAAACCTCAGTAACTCCTCTCTTTTGTGTAACGGCTTTCATGTAGAAAATGAATGTTCAAAGGTGTTGGGCCACAGTGAAGATCTTGGTGTATCAAATTCAAAACCATCTAGTGTAGCAAATGGTGAATGTACTGCGTCTCATGAGGATGAAGCATTACAGTCTTGCAGCTCCTGCCCTGTAACAGCACAAGTTGAAGCAACACCAGCTGATCACTTAGTTAATGGCAATGCTAGTCATGTACTACTTCCCCATAATGCTAATGAAGAAGAAATGTTAGAGAGACAAGTAGAGCAAGAAAGACTGAGAAACATAGATGCATTTTCACTTTTACGGCATCGATCATACAGATTCCTTGTTAACCATTATTGGTCAACACCAAAAGAAGACAAAGCTGTTGATACATCAGATTTGGAGATAACAGAAGATCCTATGGGTCTTCAGGGAATTGATCTAATCACTGCAGCTCTGTTGTTTTGCCTAGGAGATTCTCCCGGAGGTAGGGGGATATCAGAAAGTCGCGCTGTTGATGTGTATCATGTTGACTTTGGGACCCAAACATTTTCTCTCCCATCTGCTATACTGGCCACAAATACAATGGTGGGGGAAATAGCTTCAGCTTCTGCATGTGATCATGCCAACCCACAGCTCTCAAATCCAAGTCCATTCCAGACCCTTGGATTGGATTTGGTATTGGAATATGTGGCTAGATACCAAACAAAACAGCGTTCAATGTTTACATTTGTTTGTGGACAGTTGTTTAGAAGGAATGAATTTTCATCCCATTTTAAGAATGTGCATGGAGACATTCATGCTGGCCTTAATGGCTGGATGGAGCAGAGGTGTCCTTTAGCATATTATGGGTGCACATATTCTCAACGAAGGTTTTGCCCTTCAACACAAGGGGCAAAAATTATTCATGACCGCCACTTACGGTCATTTGGAGTTCAGCCTTGTATATCCACAGTATTAGTAGAACCAGCAAAAAGCTGCTTAATTGGACTACACAATGACCATCTGAGTAGTCTACCTTTTGAGGTGCTGCAGCATATTGCTAGTTTTCTAGACGGCTTTAGTTTATGTCAGCTCTCAAGAGTGTCACGTTTAATGAGAGATGTGTGTGGAAGCTTACTTCAAGCACGTGGAATGGTGATACTGCTTTGGGAGAAGAGAAAGTGCCCAGAAAGAAGTTCTTGGCAGGTAAAAGAAAAGGTAAGTTTTTTGGTTGGTTTTTTTTTTGTTTGTTTGTTTTTTGTTTTTTTTTTTTTTTAACGTGAAAGGGAAAGTATTACATTGGTCCTGTTTCTGCTTTTTCTCTTAATACTATGCCTGTTACTACTGGATTTTGGTATAATAACCTGACAAGAAAGAGATTGTTGTATAGAAAGTGAAAATTGCAGAAGGTTGTCTCAGTCTTCTCCACACTTGGAGAAATAGAAGCAGTGTCTGTATAGTTTTTGCTGCATATAAGTAAATTAACTTCCGTTATTTCTGGTATTTTAAAATGTTATAAGATTACTTCATGATTTGCTTTAAGATCAATAGGCCATAGAAGTGGGAAGGCTGCCTACAAAGTTTGCTTTTCTTGCCTGTGTAGTGTTTACAGCAATTTTTTTTTTCAAACCTGTCGAGATCGTATCTATTGCCTTGGTGCTGAATGCCTCAAATATTGTAACAATTTAAAACCTTAGGATGACCTTTGTGTAATACAGTTTTTACCATTCTCCCCACCCCAAACTGCAGAGTGTTTGCAGCACTCATTTGGAGCTGCAGAAGTTGCTAAGACACAAACTGTTGTAAATACATTGTAATTTAACTTCTGATTGTATCTATTTTGTGGACACAAAAAATATTGCCTTTGTTTCTTCACAGTGTCCAGAGTTGTCTTAGAGTCTGAATCAGCCTGAGACAAACAATACTGAGTTCTGTATAGTGTATTTTTGTCATGTTGATTTTTAGTATGTGGTTTTGACAATGTTACCTGAAAGTTCTATAGCAGAAGGGTGTAACTTTCTGCTCTGAGTTCGAGTATCTTAAAACACTGTGAGCCTAAGTGCAGCTTATTTCCTAGGTTTGGCGCTTCAGTACAGCCTTTTGTACTGTGAATGAGTGGAAGTTTGCTGACATCGTGAGCATGGCTGACCACTTGAAGAAGTGTAGCTACAATGCTGTGGAGAGAAGAGAGGAGGCTGTGCCGCTGCCATGCATGTGTGTGACACGAGAGCTCACCAAGGAGGGACGGTCACTGCGCTCTGTTTTGAAACCTGTACTTTAAGTACTGCAGCCACTCCAATTGCACATACACTCAAGCACCTGATATAACCTCGGTAATATTATGAGACACTTTATTAATGTACTAAAGATACTTTCTAGCTAAATGTACTCTGTCACTGTGTATATAAGGTTTGAAGTGACATTTATTTTTTATAATACTGTTTAGCTGGAAAGTAATGAAAGTTGCCTTAACGTTTGAAAAATTCGGAACTTGCTGGACAGGGTAGTTTTATCTAACTTATGTAATTTAAGAACAAAATCCTACGGTGTGTTTTCTGATTCACTGGTGCCCATGTAGCTGTTGACTGATAACATTTCAAAAATGGCCTCTAAATGGTATCCACATTTGGATAGGAAACACTGAATTGTAGTGAGAGAAAAGTCCTGTCCAAATCCTGTACCTTCTGTGTCTGGTCTTTTTTTTTTTTTTAAACAAATTATAATCCAAATATTTGAAAGATAAGGAAGAATTCAAAACTTTATAATAGATGTCTCAAACACAGCTTTTAAGCACATTTTTTCTCATGAAATCAGTGTTCTACTGCTCTTCCTAGTTAACACGTGATCTAGGATCAGCTTTTTTTTTAAAAAGTGGTTTTTTTTAGTAATGATCTAAGTGAACTCAGATTTACAGCAGCTTAATTTTTAGTACAACTTTGTTTTGACATGTCAACAATTGCTATTTTTTCTTCTGAACTCTTAACAGTTGTTTTACTTCTGGGAGGAAAACTTTTAGAGCTAAAACAATGGAATACTAGTTTTTACTCTCACACCTGAAATGATATCAATGTCAAATGTTCAGAACATTTTTCCTTGTCCTGCAGTTGGCTGAGGGTTAAATTGCTTGAGCAGTCAGAAATTCAAACTACGTGACAAACAGTTACGAATTTATAGTGCAGCTAATGAAAGGGCTTTACTTGTTCTGTGGTATTGTGACATGTGTTGTCTCCTTTTCTGTTAATTAGTCTATAAAAATGCTGCTTTTTTAAGGAGCATTTTAAATTACTGGTATGTATAGCAAATGTATCATCTTCATAAGATGAGACATGATTTGTTAATTGCATAAGGCATATCAGAAACATTATGTTAATCCACATTTGTTAAACCAATAACTCCAGTTCGCTTCCAGTCTTCCATAAGAAAAGATCTTATGAAGTGTTTGTGAACAGAGAATACATGCTATGAAAAATGGCCTGGTACAGCAAAACTTTAATAACTTGAACTGACTTTCCAACTTGTTTGTATTACTGTGAGTCTCTCTTGCCTGTTGCACTTAGCAACTGTGCCACAAAACTAAAACAGAAACAGACCAGAGCTTGGAACAATGAAATACAGTGTGTATTTCCATTATAGGGAAAAAAAAAAAAAAGAGATTAGTAAGGAGGAGATGTTTACAAAATGGCTAAATTTATTACTTGTAATTTCTGTACCGGACACTCGTTTATGGCTAATCTGGCTGCAGTTCACAGCTTTGGTATCTGTGCATTTCCCATTCTGGATTCAGTCCAGATAAACATTCACTGCCTTTTTTTCTATTCAGAGTGCTACAGGTGCCCAGAAAAAAAAAAAAAAAAACAAAAAAACCAAAAAAAAAACCCCACCAACAAAAACTAAAAGAAACCTAGTTCTTCAGTGCCATGAGTTGAAATTATAAGAACTCAAATAGAAGTTTTGCCTTTTCAAACTGCATGTTCTCATTCCCCAACTTCTCTTCTTTGTTGTGTAAAGAGAAGAAAGGAGTAAACCCTCTACAGAAGTTAGCAACATTTGCAGTAATTCTTAGCTGTTACCACAGTTATCTGGAAAGGAGCATCTAGATTCAGGTACAGATCTGACTATACCAACTGGGTTTTAGGTAGGAATCTTACACCCCCAGCCTGGTTCTTCAAATGTATTGAAATGCTCATTACCAACAAATTCTTCAGTACTAGGCAGGTGACAACTTTCATCAGTTCTTGTCTTTCAGCTCTAAAGGCTCCATGCTGCTGCTCTTCAGTGTTTAAAAGTAGTTGTGTGACTGGAAGGATCCTGAAAGTAGAGGAGATAATGCTCGCATTTATGGCTAAATCTACTTCAAAACATCTGTCTTGGGTTACTGGTATTTTTTAGTGAGCAATGTGGTGGTTTTGGTACTCTGCATTCTTTGTAAATTCCCAGAACCCTGATAAGTATGGTAGGCAGGCACGTGTCTTGGTGCTTATGGAAAAGAGGATGTTCAGATAGAGGAACTGGTGTTAGAACCTCGCTTGTAGCACAGTGCAGAACTACATTTAAAGTATCATCAGTTGTTGATCCATTAAAATGAATTTTTAAAGTACTCTTTTTAAGAAGTAACACTATTTCTCAATACATGCACTTTTATTTTCAAATGTAGATACAGGCTTTTTTGTTAAATTAGTTTATTTTTTATGAGAATCCAGAGCTATTAAAATATCAATGTTGTAAGCAACATATCTGCCTTGTAAACTGCTCCAAATGCAGAAATACAGTATACGTAGGATAAAACATTTTTTTTTTTAACACTGCTATGCAGTTTGTAAAACATCTGTGGTGTATAGTCAGTCTATCAAAATGTGACCTGTTCACATTTGCCCTTGAATTTTAAAAATGTCATATTCCTTTCCTGGTACATGTTCCATACATAGACAGCTGTCCCAGACTTTCTTTTACTTGATACCACATTGCTACTTTGTTTAAAATATTATGTTTTCAATCATTATGCAATTTTTTTTCAATGTCTGTTGAAATCTTAATAAAACTTTTGGAGTTTCTCTTTTAGTGTGATTGTATTTTCTTTAAAGCTCATACCCAGCGTTTGGGTGTTCAAGCATGGTGCTCAGTGCCTGCCATAGGATTCCAGTAAGTACTCCAAGAGTAAAGTTACATATGGGAAACTATTTACAAACATTCGAACATAATTTGGAAATTACTAATATTTATACAAATTTCAGTATGATGATTGGTCATTCATTTTCAGATTATTTACCCGTTTCTATTGCTTTGGTGTATTATGCAGCATAGATTCCCTTCCACAATTAAAGATTTGACTACATAACATTGAAGACACATATTGTAGCTTGTGGGTTTGTTCTAACTGCTTTTTCTGAATAATAAATTGGAAGGATTTTCTGATCATTATGATATGCTGCTGGTTTGCAAAGAACATTTTCAGTGTGTTGTTCTGTGAGTAAAGCTTCTTCTAAAAGTTGTTTGTTAGAATAGTACAGAAACAAAAATTTAGAGTGTTCAGATAATGGTTGTATTTCAGACTGCTTATGGAATGGCAAAATATAAAACATCATTAAATAGAGGACTGCTCAGAAATTGATGTTTTGCCCTGACATTTGCTAACACTAACATACTAATAGTTTTTATGAATAAAAATGGTACCCATACTGCACTAAGTTCAGTCTTAAAAACTTGTGACTATTTCACTTTCTAGACAGACTGCATTTTGGTTTTCTCTCTCCATCACTGGATTAGATATTCTGCTGTGTAAGGAAATATTTAACTTTCTTGATGCTTAAAGTATTGTAGGGGATTTGCCTGTGTTTTGGATTGTTTTTCTGAGATTACTACTGCTAAACTCTGTGCTGCATGTAATTTTCTAAAATGAGATTTAAGTTCAGTGGAAGTTCAATGCCTGCTGTAGTATCACATTTAAATTCCTTTAGTCAGAATGTCTGTTCAGGCAGCTTTGATCATCTTCAGATGAGCAGAACCTAGCAGTTGTTTACAGCACTGAGAAAAAAAGTAGTAATCAGATAGGATTAATAAAAAGTTATGGCATGTAAAGCAGAGCTTGAAGAATGGGAGTCTAATACTGTGACATTTTGGCATGTGGTGAATATTGAAGCAATAATCCAAACTGGAGAGGGAAACTGAATGAAGAGATAGAAGAACTGAGGCATTGAGTCCCAGCATATACAGACTCTTCTGAGAGACTGTGTGAGAATGCTGTGAGTTTGACTTGTACATGCTGCAGCTGTGCTTCAGTGGCGATTTATCGTTCTTTTCCATAATAGCGGGAGCTATCCTGCTGCTACTTGTGCTTTAATGTGCTTTACTTGTAAACTGTCTCCAAGCTCTGCTTGCATTCCTGAATCAAATATTAGTTAAGCTGAATGCAGTCGTCACTACTGAATGCAAGATACCTATTTGATGTGGATTCTACATGCTGGTGGTATCAGAGGCAGTATTTGGTAAGACTGATAGAAAAGTAAGGTCCTTCAGAGACAGAGGATCCATCTGCTTGGTTTTTATTGGTATTTGCCAGAAAAAGAGACCAAAAATGTGTTAGAGAATGTGAGGAATAAGACTGATAGCATTTAATGACCTGGTAGTCAAGTAAACATTATTAATCATCATTAGATGCAGTATGATGGCAAAATTCCACACCTCTGCCATTTTGACAGACTAAATTCTGTGACAAAGGCAGCAGTAGATATACAGCCTTGGGTAATAGGAAAACAACATATACAGAGTTTAACTGCAAAATATAGGAAAACTAGAATTTCATTAGGGCTAGACTTGTATAGTGAATTAGGACAATGTGATTTCTGCCTTGAGGATATTTCAGTGTTCTGGTTCTTAGTTTTGTCCTAAACTGGGCTGACATTTAGATACTTATCTAAATCGTAAAATGAACAAGCTGCAGAAAAACAGTAGGAAAAGATGAAATGAGCTTGCAAAGTTGTTTCAGTTTCATAGTACCATAATGTCGTATTGAACCGAGAATTTTACAAGATGTTAAAGAAAGGAACAGAAAAAATAGATTGATACATACGTTTCATTTAACATTTGCCTTTTTTTTCAACCTAATCTATGTTTTCAAGTATGTAACAGCAGAGCTACCTTTAAGTTTATTGTGATTTAAATAGAGGCAATTGTGCTAGTAAAATGAAAGTTGGGTTCCATTAGTATTCATAGCACAGCTGCAGGACAAAACTAATCTGATTATGTGACTGATTAACAAAAGAACAATCAACGACCTGGTATGAACCTACACTGGACTTTGTTCAGAAGTGTTAATGTTTGGTTGTTACGTATTATGTAATCATCTGAATATTGTTTTCTCTTTAGTATTTTAATTATATAGTTGTGTTCCATGTGTGATTCCGGAGGCCTTTGCAGAAAACAGGAAATAGTGTGCTGCTTAAAGAGATTTGAACCTTCGTTAAGGGTAAGGTATTAGTGCTATGAACTGTGACAGCTGTTTATGAGCATCAGCTGTCCAGAGTTTCATGTCGTTGTGTATTTGAAGAGGAAGGGATGGCTGGATGTCATGTTGCCTAAGCAAGGTGGCTTTTACAAGCAAGATGCTTATAAGGTGCGGCACTGGGCATATGTTTTTTAATATACAGAAGTGTAGCATATTCTTGAATTAACAATGCAGTAAGACTATTGAGTAGATGGGATTGCATACAACAAAAATTGCTTCCAGTTTTGTGATAAAACAGACTCTATCCAAATGACCTGCATCTCTGACATCAGTTAAATGGAGTTTTAACTTGTAATCATATTTTTCAGCTGATAGCCTTTTGGATACATACAGAAGTCTTTATATTAAAGGTTAGAATCAAATCAACCAAGAAAAAGACCCCACACCAAAAAAGAAACCTACCCCAACAACTAGAAAAATCCTGTGATATATTTTTTTAATGGATAAACTGTTGATTAATGGTTGTTAGGAGAACCTGGGAAGTAAATAGAAAACTCACTTTCTATATTATGTTCAAATAAAATCTCCTTCATGTAGATAAGCAAGTGCATCTTCTTAATTAAAACCAAAGCCAAAACAAAACACATTTACAAAAGCTGTATGATTGGCAGTATGACTTTTCTACTGTCCTTTTGATCTTCAGGTGAAACTTCAATGATCCCAAATTTGCTAATTTTACCATCCAGAGGGAGGAAGCTCTGTGAGAAGAGACTGGACATTTCAGAGACTGTGAAAAACACTATGTAGCAGCTGTAAGAGAAGAGTGAGAAAAATATGAGAGAAACAGCCCTGCAGACAAAAGGGTTAGGGGCAGGAAGTCCCTGATGTGGGAACAGAGATTCCCCTGCAACCTGTGGAAAAGACCATCGTAACTCAGGTCATTCCTCTAGCACATGGAGGACTGCAGAGGAACAGGTATCAGCTCTGCAGCCAGTGAAGGACCAGTGGGGTACAGGTGGATCTACTTTTAGGGGAGCTGCAGTCTGTAGAAAGTCCCCACAGGAGATGGCTTCTGGCAGGAGATTTCACCCATGGAAGGGGGTCTATGCAGGAGCAGGTTTTATGGCTACTACATTAACTGGTCCCAGAATAACACAGAAACCTGTGTAAATTAGTTACCTTGTGTAGAGGTGTGGTAAATAAGGTTGGCCAGAACATCCATAGATTAAATAAAATGTAAGTAAGAAATCATTGAAATAAGTGTAGAATCTGGAGTAATTTATGTTTTTGACAGTTAAGGTAAATCATAATTTGTCTTTAATTTTGCTCTGACCACACATATGCTCTCAGAAAAAGTGGGTTTAAAAACCACTGCTCTAAAGGTAGGGCACAGCCTGCCTTTGGAACATTCTACTTGAACTTTAAGCCACTCTTGGTTGACAGCAATTGAACAACTAATTGTTAACTATGGTACTTAGTGAGAACACAGGAAGCGAATGACTATTCCCTGGCAGCTGCGGTGACCTAGCAGAGCGTGGGGAAAGCTTAACAGGTGGCCAACTGATGCATGCCATGTGACATCAGATCTCAAGCAAAGTACCTGCTGGTTGTATGAAGATCATATTAGCATGTTTTTATTCCATATTTTGACCAGGTTAGAGTGACTACTTGCATCCATGGTGGTAAAGTTTTAGAGTTGTGCTCAAGCTGAAACTATCATGAGGATCATTATATGGGGACTCGCCCATAGTAAGGGTTAGCAGCCCCCAGACACATGTGACCACACAGCTTTTAATTGCAATTGTTCTCATGAGCTTACCCGTAATGCAACTTGTAAGGAAAAAAAGTCACTATTTATTGTTACATGGACCATATAGATCTAATCACATTTAAATGAAGTGAGATACTAAAGCTATGACTATAGTAATTATTTGAAGTCCATGTAGAGTTAATTTTATGCTTAGTTGGATCAATGTCAAATGAATTGGTTTCTATCTCCTTGAATTTATGCAGGTAGTAATGTTTGAACAAAGATGTGCTACAGCAAAGCAAATATTAATAAATGTGAAATAAAACCACTCATTCTCTAGTGGTATAGACATAAACCTTACCAGAACTTAGGAAAGACTACCAGTAACTACCAGATAGATTTACTATATACATGACAACTTTTCACAGATTTTGAGTGATTTTGGTCTCAGTAGAACAATCTGAAGTTTGTTAGCTTATATGTTACACATATTCATGGCATAGAGATTTGTACATGTTCACATTCTGTCATATGACAACACTGTTACTAAATTCACATAAAGAAGTGTTTTTGGGAAAATGAGAGGATTCATTTGACTTCCATGCAATTTTCAGGCTGTTCTGATCCAGGTTACGTGGGTTGCTGCTTAAAATATATCTCAGTTCTCAACCAAAGTACTAACTTTCCAGGTCTGAAATAACCCCTTCTAGGTAATAGTGTGCCATTCATCCATCACTCGAGTCCACTGCCATGAAACAATTCAGTAGCTTTCTCTTTTATAGGTCTCTAGTAGATTACTTGTCCCTAAAGAAAAGGCTGTTATATTTGCAAGCATTTCTGAATGGCAGAGAATTGCCATT